AGAGAGAGAGAGAGAGAGGCAATTGCGTGTGATCCCTCGGACGCGGTTTCCTAATTTTCTCGCTAGAATAGGTTGTGTCTTATCACATTCTACGCAAAAAGTTCTCGTCTGATCGTTTGACTCTAGGCGCTTCGTCACTAGTTGTCTCAATGTCGATCTATATTTATACGTGTAGTTAAATTAATTGTTATCGCAGAAAAAGAGAGCTATTATATCGTATAATATATAGTAACTTTAAGTTATGGTCTTAAACGATTTCTAAGTATGTATACCTCTAATAACCCGATTGCGTGCGTGCACGTTTCTGCGTGCGCATTATATAATGTATGTATATATGCGTTTAATGATAAAAATTATGCTACATATTTTTTCGGCCGATTCACGAACACTACTTGCATTTTGAGATCCTTTATAAGAGTATTTTGCGATATAATAATAGTAGATATTTATTTATTCGCATCTATTTTATGTGCTCCCTCCTTTCTCTATTCACAACAATTCTTTTTCGGCGTTCAATAAGATGTTCCTCAAAAGAGAGAAATGTAATTAAAATTCTTGCCTCTGGTCATTATTATAATTTAACCATTTTAAATAAATAGTATAATTTTAAAAAATGCAGAAAATTTCATCATAATTTTTATGAATAAAAGATCTAATGTAGTATACTTGAACTACAATAAAAATATACTCTAGATTCGTTATTAGTGCAATAATCAAGAAAGTGGTAATTCCACATGCAAAAATAAATCGAAAATGTATAATAAAATAAAATTTTATTCTACATTTTGAATTCATTTTTGCATGTAGAATTAATCTTTTTTGCACCACAAAAAATCACTGATACTCACTATAATAATTTATATTTAAAATAATAATGCGCTTAGAGCGCGAGGCCATTAATATCACCGATTCATAATACTTACAAACGGAATTCGTTAACTTATTTTATATATTTCGTTGACCAAATCGTTTACATTGAGAATGTTATGCAATAGATCACGAAAAGAAATTTGATTTTCGCACAGCGTTACGTTAACGACGATGCTCATTGATTGTCTCTACTTATATGTATAATTATAATAATAATCACGCAACATTTATCTATTCATGACTTCATAATTGTCAAGTGCCTAAATTTTGTCCATCGCGCACGTGTCTTTCCCCACGAATGCTCGAAATGTCTGCACGTCTCGTACAAAGAATTTTTCACTAATTGCTATCGAATTGAATAATCGCTGTAATGATGCTGTAACGATGTGCACAATAATGTTGCTAAAACAGGTACACTTGTAAGTTAAAAAGAAAAAGAGCGAGAATCAAGAACTTTCTAAAGTGTGGAGAGTTAATTTTTTTTTTAACGATCGTCAGACGAATGAAAAATTCTTCGTCGCGCCGCGTCACTACTGACTATAAGAGCTACAGTATGTTCGTATCGTCGTAATCTATAATATAATTACGATGCGTTATCGTAAAACTTATTAATCGTGTTAAAGTGGAGTAAGTTAAGTGAGAGGCACCGTAGAGTGTGCTCGTACGCACGTAATATAGGCTAAAGCGTGTTTTACAGAGTATTTTGCTTACGTTTTCCTGTGCACTTTCTTTACATATTTCGATGAAATACACACTTATAATAAACTGATAGTCAAGCGCCGCACACGCGAGATCCGAGTTGTACAAAATCGATCAGGCTACAGACAGCGCTGTGTAAAATCGTCAAAAGTGTGCTGATTGTTCAACGATCTTTTATCAAAATCGGAGGAATCCTTGAAAGCTCATTATGTATTTGTTAAAAACTATAAATCGGCGATTGGTCGAAAGGAGATGATTAACAATTTTTATCTGCCTTTTTAGGAGGCGCTTTATCCCCGAGAAATTACAATTGTGTTAAATTCCACCTCCTCGAAATCACTTACTTGACTATCACTTTATTATAATTGATAGAGGTTGTGCTTGATTCAAGAACAATTGAGTATTCGACGTAAATAATCAATTATTTCACACGGCCCTCGTGCTTAGCTCCATCGAGAACACAATGGAAAACTATATATGAAGCGATATGAAAAAGATTACAGTATAAAAAACATGTATGGCGAAATTATAATTTGTTCGTAAAACGAACGAAGAACGTAGTGTGCAACATCGTGCGCATTCAATCGGCGATGCAGCCCGCTGATGCAACGAATTGATCAGCTCGAATCAAGCACCACGTCCATTGCAGCAGTAAAGCGTGGTGTTTTGGTTCACGAGAAAGTCTTGTAAAATGTGTATATTTTGGACCCTACATTTATATTTATATATATATATATATATATATATATATATATAT